TCCTCCTCCTTCTCCTCCTCCTCTCCTTTCCTCCTCCTCCTCCTCCCCGCCCCTCCTCCTCCTTCCTCCCTCCTCCTTCCACCCTCCTCCTTCCTCCTCCTCTCCTCGTCATCTCCTCCTCCTCATCCTCCTCCTCCTCCTCCTCCTCCGCCGTCTCCTCTCCTCCCTCCCTCCCTCCCTCCCCCATCCTCCATCCCTCCCGCCCCTCCCTCCTCCCTCCCTCCGCCCCTCTTCCGCCTCCTCCTCCTCCTCCTCCTCCTCCCCTCCTCTCCCCTCCTCCTCCTCCTCCCTCCCCTCCTTCCTGGCTCTACCACCTCTTCCTCTCCTCCTCCTCCCCTCATCCTCCTCCTCCTCAGCAGCAAGACATCGCCATCATCATTCATCATCATCATCATCCATCATATCATCCATCATCACATAATCATCATCACATCATCATCATCATCATCATCATCATCATCATCATCATCATCATTATCTCATTCATCATCATCATCATCAGCAGCATCATCAGCATCATCATCATCATCATCATCGTCGTCGTCGTCGTCATCATCATCATCATCATCATCATCATCATCATCATCAACATCGTCATCATCATCATCATCATCATCATCATCAGCATCATCATCATCATCATCCTCAGCATCATAATCATCATCATCATCATCTTCAGCACCATCAGCATCATCAGCATCAATCATCAGCATCATCATCAGCATCGTCCGCATCATCATCATCATCATCATCCTCATCATCATCGTCGTCGCGATCATCATCATGATCATCATCATCATCAGCAGCAGCAGCACCATCGCCACCAGCAGCATCATCATCATCAAAAATCCACATCATCAGCAGCATCATCATCATTGAATCATCATCATCAGCAGCAGCAGCAGCATCAGCATCAGTATCATCATCATCATCATCATCATCAGCAGCAGCATCATCCTCATCATCAGCAGCATCATCATCAGCATCATCATCCGCATCAGCATCATCATCGTCATCTTCCTCATCCGCCTGCTCTCCCTCCTACTACTACTACTACTACTACTACTACTACTACTACTACTACTACTGATAATACTACTACTACCACTACTACTACAACTCCTACTACCACTGCTACTACTACTACTACTATTACTACTACTACTACTACTACTACTACTCCTAATCAACTACTACTACTAATTCTAGTACTACTACTACTTAATACTATACTACTATTACTAATACTACACTACTACTACTACTACTATTACTACTACTACTACTACTACTATTACATACTACTACTACTACTACTACTACTTACTACGAACTACTGCTACATACTTTTAATACTTATACTGATAACTCTGACTACTACTTAGTTCAGTCTATCAACTACCACTACTATTACTACTACTGCTTACTGCTACTACTACTATTACTACTACTACTACTACTATTACTACTACTACTACTACTACTACTACTACTACTACTACTACTACTACTACTACTACTACTACTACTACTACTACTACTACTACTACTACTACTACTACTACTACTACTACTACTACTACTACTACTACTACTACTACTACTACTACTACTACTACTACTACTACTACTACTACTACTACTACTACTACTACTACTACTACTACTACTAACTACTACTGCTACTGCTACTTCTACTACTACTACTACTACTACTACTACTACTACTACTACTACTACTACTACTACTACTACTACTACTACTACTACTACTACTACTACTACTACTACTACTACTACTACTACTACTATACTACTACTACTACTACTACTACTACTACTACTACTACTACTACTACTACTACTACTACTACTACTACTACTACTATACTACTACTACTACTACTACTACTACTACTACTACTACTACTACTACTACTACTACTACTACTACTACTACTACTACTACTACTACTACTACTACTACTACTACTCTCCAAGTAGAGGGAAACAATTACCGAACACTTCCCCTCCCCCCCCAAACTCAAAGTTGGTACGCGCGGAGGAGACTGCGGTCGAAGAGCAACTCATCAGAGCCACCGCCAACTTTGTTTGAACATTGGGGGGAGGGGGAGGCGTTGGCAAATGAACGTGGCATGAGTGTTCTGAGGCCTGTTTCTCCTGGCCCGCTACGCTGGTCTGGGCAACGATCGCCAGTACAGCCGCTGTCTGCAAGGCCAGCGGCGACGACGCCCGCCCCACGGCGGCTCGGGGGCTGGGAGGCCGCGGCCAGCTTGGGCTCTCTGGCCGTCGGTGGCCGTCGCTCTCGCCTCTGCCCGATCGAGCTGGCAAGGAGTGTTCCCTCGGCGACGATTGGGTCTGGCCCGATGTTCGCATGGCGCACATACAGGAGCCGGAGTCGGAGACCTGGGAGCCAGAAGCCAGAGCCAGTGGGGAGGGGAGGGGTGCCGAGCTGCTCCCGACCCTCGACCCTGGCTGATTGTGTCGGAAGTGCACCCCAAACGGTGCGAAGCTCGGCGGCGAGCCCGGGGGGGAAGTGAGAAGGGGCGGGCCTTCTCAGAAGGCTCGGAAGTCCCCCCGCCTTCTGAGAAGTTTTCTTAGCCTTCCCCGAATACAGAACTAAACCTTTCACAAGGAGCGAGGGCTTCTGAGAAGTCCCGCCGCCTTCTGAAAAGGACTTCTCCTTCTCACTTCCCCCCCTCGCTCGCCGCCGATTCCCAGCACGGAGCACGACGTCCACTTGTCCCCAGTGGCGCGGGCACCACAGCTGCCACAGACACGTCGAGCACCGTGGAAAGGTCAAAGCCAGCGACGGGCGAGCACCCCACGCAGGCGCTCGACACGGAGACAAGGAGACACGATCGAGCTGGATGGTAAGCACCCTCGGGAGTCGAGGGCGGGGCGGCCATGGTAATGGCCAACTGAGATCCACGTTACCATCTCGAACTCGCCGTCGGGCAGATGGCGACTGCCTCCGACGCAGACCGATTCAACGGGGTATCGCGGAGAGCGGTCGCAACGCCCCCTGGGTTGGATTCGACGCCGACAGTCATTGTGGTAAGCGCCGAGCACGCGGGAAGATCTACCGCACTCTCGATGCTCAGATTTCCTGGTGCAGTAGCTGCAATGTTCGGGGCACCCCGAGGCAATCGTGCGCAACAGATGCACTCGACTCTGGCCTCGCTCTCCGTACTACTTTCACGTACAGCTCCACGTCGACGCCTGTCTTGATCAGGCAAACGAGCTTGGCAACGATGTCGTGCCCGTCTGTGCCCAGGGACCCCAGCAGCGATCGGAACACAGCTCGAGCGCCTTGGACCGCGCGCGGATACCAACAGCATCGAGTCGAATCGGCGCACATAACATCACGCGGCGCGCACTGGCCAGCCGTGGTGCAGTCTGCACGCACCTCCAGGCCAACACCCGAAAGCCATGCGCACATGTTCTGTTTTCGCTGAATTGCCCCACTCCGCCAGCAGGCCGCGTGCCCCTGGGGGTGGCACAGTGGTCCTCTTGGCACAGTAGACCTGTAATCAGCATAGGCACAGTTTCGACAAACCTCACACAGATCATGACAAACTCGAATGTCGCAACCTCATGTCCAAGCTGATCGCGCAGGTCTGGGAGCACACGGACAAAGGCCACCCGAGGTACAGAAGACTCCCATGAGAATGACAATCAATCGTGCCCCGATATGTGCCTTGTTCGCGGATGCGGTACAGCGCCATCATCGTCCCAGTGCGGTCCACCCCGTAGAGGCAGTGCACGTAGATCGGATAGGCGGTCCTGCCATGGGGGCACAGCCGGGCCCCAGGTGCTCCAGGCTAAACGTACTAGAGAGTCTCGAAGCAATGCCCTGCATTGGCGCACCATCACCCAAAAGGGCGGCCAGGAGGATGCATGGGGAAAAACGAAGGGGTAAGGAACACGGGAAGAGGAGGAGAAAAAGAAGAAGCGTGAGGAGGATGGAGGAGGAGGGAGAACATTCATCCAGAAGAACGGGACAGCGCAGCAGACCACGATGCAAGGTCAGCGGGCACAGCGCACATTGCAAGGTCGAACATCGAAAACATGCAAGTGGCGAGACGGCGAGGATGCCCCCCAGCTGCAATAGCACACGACCGTATACCACAATCACGATTGGGAATCTGGAACAAGGATGCGAAGCCACAGTACGTGCGAATCAGAATGTATCGGCATGGCAGTTTGGAGGCCGAAGTGACGAACCATGCAGGCAGAACGTTGGCAAGCACATGGCCCGAAGCAAACGGCAACTGCAAAACATGAATTAGGGAACGTTCGTCAAGCACTCTGCACCTATAAAGCATAGGCGAGCATCTGTAACCAATACGGGGGCCGTGTGTACCCTCGCCACAAGGACCGGAGTTCTGACACATGCAGGCCAACTGCGCTCCACTTAGCACGGACGAGTGTCCGATCGTCTGTGGCATGGTGAACTCCCTCCAGCAATAAGACCAAAAATCCCTTCGTAACCTCGGTGAGTACAACCCGCGCCCGCCAGCCGCCAGGCGGACAGACCGTCCACTGAAAGAGAAATGCCGCGCACGTGTTGTAGCCACCATACCATGCGCCGCACACGCTGCGCACGACTAGCGGACGTTCAGCTTGGGCATCGCCGACACGAGACACTGGCGGGGAACTCCGCAATCACTCAGCAAGCACAGCATAGCACAGCAAACACTCACGAGACACAAGGTACATGCCAGCCACACGTGTGCTGCCAAACACACACACACACACACACACACACACACACGCGCACGCACGCACGCACGCACGCACGCACGCACGCACACAAGCTGTTGATAAAATAACTGGTATGGGCATGAAAGCTCTGAGTAGGCACCTGACCAAGATTGGGAAGAGTAGGCATGGCCAAAGCTTCGGCAACGAGCTGCGAAAAGCTACCTCGCCGAGGGCACGATCCTGTCCCTGATGACGTCGAAAAAGCGTTCCACCTGTTGCTGGCGATCGGGGGTTGTGTGACACACTGCGTGATTCATCTCACGTTCTTCCTCTGCCTCCCTGTTTTGGCACCACTACTTCATCCTTCGCCCCCTCCTTCACCCTCTCATTCTTCCCTCCTCCCCTCCTCCTCCCCCTCCTCCTCCTCCTCCTCCTCGTCCTCGTCCTCCTCCTCCTCCTCCTCCTCCTCCTCCTCCTCCTCCTCCTCCGTGCCTCCATCTTTCCCTCCCTCCTCCCTCCCTCCCTCCCTCCCTCCCTCAACCGGAACTTGCCCGCCAATGGCCCGCCTCTGAGTGGCTACACCCGCCGCCCCCGCCCTCACGGCGGCGCGCCACCGCTCTCGGCGGTGCAAGTCATGTGGTGCAAAGCAACGCGATTGCAATGCAAAGCACTGCAGAGGAATGCGAAACAGTGCAAGGCAATGCAAGGCAATCCAAAGCAGTGCAAACCAGTGCAAAGGAATGCAAGTCGATGATGATCACTGCAGTCCAAGGCAACACCATGCAGAGCAATGCAATGCACAGCAATGCAACGCAATGCGGTTGCAATGCAACGCAAAGTCATGCAAAGCGAGGCACAGCAATACACAGCAATGCACAGACATGCACAGCATTGGCACAACTGTGTAAAGCAGTGCAGCGCAACGCAAAAAAACACTGCTAATCAATCGTCGTCGTCATCATCATCGTCGTCGTCGCCAGTCCCAAGGAAATTCAAGAACGAACAAAGAAAAAAAACGTCGTCCGACACCGTGCCCTCAGACCCGTTGCCTAATCCTCTGAGCCTCAGTTCCCACTCTTGAGGAGTCTTTAGGAGCCCAGACCCCAGTTTCCGAAATCTCCTGGGTCTTCACGCGCGCGCCCTGGGTGTGGCGGGTGGCTGTTCGGCCCAAGAGGGCCCCAAGACGGGGCAAGAAAGTCCCAAGAGTCACGCAAAACTGTTCAAGAGGGCCCCGAGTCGCCGAACGATCACTCCAAGACGCTCAAGATGCCTCCCAGACGGCCCAAGAGGCTCCCAAGAAGGCCCCAAGAGGCCAAAGTCGTCGACGTTGCATTGCTTTTGAAAGTTTGTGACTTTCTCGCCGTTTCGGCTTCCCAACGCTCCCAGACGGCACTAGAGGCCCCCAAGACCACCCCAAGACGGCCAAAGAGGCCTAGGAGCGCCCCAAGACGGCCCACGAGGCGCCCACAAGGGCCCAAGAGGGCCCCAAGACGGCACCAAAAGGAGCCCGAGAAAGGGAACACGAACCGAAAATCCGAGCTTTCCGCCCCGAGAGGCCCCAGAGGCCTCAAGAGGGGCCCAGGAGGCCCCAAGAGGCCCCCAAGAGGCTCCCAAGAGACCCCCCAAGAGACCCAAAAGAAGCCCCAAGAGGCCGCAAAAAGGGCCCCCAAGAGGCGTCCAAACGCCTCCAACAGGCCCTCGAGATGCCTCCCACAACCCAGGCACGGTGGCGGGATGGGCCGAAGGCCATGAGATCCGCCGCCCCCTGTGGTCTTGCCACAGGGGTGCACGGCGTGCTGGATGTTTCAGGTTTTGGTTTTGGTTCTTTTTCTAAAAGAACTCCCCAGTGGGCTTCGGCCCGTCCCGCCGGCCACCCGCAAGTTTCCGAAAATCCATCTGTCAATGCCTTTGTTGCCCCAACTTGGCCCAAGATGGCCTCCAAGACGGCCAAGATGGCCCAAGATGGCCTCCAAGATGCTTCCAAGACGGCCAAGATGGCCTCCAAGACGGGTAAGATGGCTCCAAGATGCACCCAAGACGGCCCAAGATGGCCTCAAGATGGTCTAAGACGGCCCAAAAGGCCCGCAAAAGGCCTCCAAGACGGCCCAAGAGCCCTCCAAGACGCCCTCCAGGAAGGCCCGAATAGGTTAAAATCATTGATTTTCCTTAGGTTTTTCAAGGATTTTGGCATGTTCTTCTTTTCAGCTCTCCGACGGCCCAAGACGGCCCAAGAGGTCCCCAACATCGCCCCAACAGCACCCAAGAGGCCTCCAAGATGGCCCCATGACGGCCCAAGAGGCCCCCAAGAAGGCCCCAAGAGGGCCTCAAGACGGCCCAAGAGGCCTCCAAGACGCCCAAGATGGCCTCCAAGACGGCCAAGATGGCCCAAGATGGCCTCCAAGATGCCTCCAAGACGGCCAAGATGGCCTCCAAGACGGGTAAGATGGCTCCAAGATGCACCCAAGACGGTCCAAGATGGCCTCAAGATGGTCTCAGACGGCCCAAAAGGCCGGCAAAAGGCCTCCAAGACGGCCCGGCAGATCTCCCAAACGCCCACGCTGGCGTCCACTACGGCCACGATAAACCCAAGTGAGGCCACAGAGAGGCCCCCAACCCAGCCCAGACGGCGTCAGGCAGAACAGGAAGGCCGCAAGGCATCCAAAGAGGCCCCCAAGATGCTTCCAAGACCGCACATGTGGTCCAATATAAACCCAGAGTAGCCAAAAAGGCACTCAAGAGACCTCCTCCTCCATTCCCCCCTTCCTATCTCTCCTCTCCTCCCCGTCCTCCCCCACGTGTTCCCCGAAGGCTGTAAAGACCGATTCGGGGAACATATGGCCCAATAACTTGGCAGACCTCTGGCCACAGCAGTCGGTCGCATTGGCGCTTCCGAAAGGGCAGGGGGCGGCGGTGATTCGCCGTAGGCGTCTTCGATCCGCCGCCCCCTGCTTGCAGGGGTGCACGGCGTGCTGGACGTTTCAGGTTTTGGTTTTGGTTCTTTTTCTAAAAGAACTCCCCAGTGGGCTTCGGCCCGTCCCGCCGGCCACCCGTAATTTTCCCAAAATCCGTCTGTCAATGCCTTTGTTGCCCCAACTTGGCCCAAGATGGCCTCCAAGACGGCCAAGATGGCCCAAGATGGCCTCCAAGATGCCTCCCAGACGGCCAAGATGGCCTCCAAGACGGGTAAGATGGCTCCAAGATGCCTCCAAGACGGCCCAAGATGCCCTCCAAGACGGCCAAGATGGCCCCAAGATGCCTCCAAGATGGCCCAAGAGGCCTCCAAGACGTTCTCCAGGAGAGCCCGAAGAGGCCAAAATCATTGGTTTTCCTTAGGTTTTTGAAGGTTTTTTGCGTTTTCTTCTTTTCGGCCTTCCGACGGCCCAAGAGGCCCCCAAGATCGCCCAAGAGGCCTCCAAGAAGGCCCTATGACGGCCCAAGGGCCCCCCAAGACGGCCCCAAGAGCGCCCCAAGACGGCCCAAGAGGCCTCCAAGACGCCCAACATGGCCTCCAAGACGGCCCTGAAGCGCCCCAAGAGGGCCCCAAGACGGCCCAGAGAGGCCCCCAAGACGGCTCCAGACGGCGTCAGACGGACCAGGAACGCCCTAAGACGGCCAAAGAGACCCCCAGGAAGCCCCCAAAGGCCCCCAAGAGGCCCAAGGAGGCCCCCAAGATGCCTCCAAGAGGCCTCGAAGAGGCCCCCAAGAAGCCCCCAACAGACCCCAAGGGTGCCCCAAGAGACTCCTAACAACCCTCATCCTCCTACTCTATTTCTTCCTCTTCCTCTTCCTGTTCATAATCATTCTCTCCCATGTGTTCCCCGAAAGCTTTCCAAACCGACTCGGGGAACTCATGGTCCGATAGCTTGGCCAAGCTCTAGTCCAACTTTCGGCCACATCGGCGTTTCCAAAAAGGCAGGGGGCGGCGGTGATTCGCCGTAGGCGTCTTCGATCCGCCGCCCCCTGTCGGTTCATCGCAGGGGTGCCTGGCGTGCTAGACGATTTCGGTTTTGGTTTTGGTTCTTTTTCCAGAAGAACTCTCCCAGTGGGTTTCGGCCCGTCCCGCCAGGGTACCGGGAGGCCTGCCCACGTGCACAAACTCCATGAAAAATCCTCCCTGAAACGGCCGTTTCGCTCGGGACATCCTCAAAAAATCGCGAAAATGGCCCAAGATGGCCTCCAAGTCCGCCCAAGATGGTCCAAGACGGCCTCCAAGACGGCCCAAGAGAGTCCAAGACGGCCCAAGACGGCCCAAGAGGCCCCCCAGAGGCCTCCCAGACGGCCCAAGAGGCCTCCAAGAGGTCCTCCATGAGGGCACGAAGAGGCCAAAATAATTGGTTTTCCGTAGGTTTTTGAAGGATTTGGGAATTTGTTTCTTCTCGGCATTCCTACCGCTCAAGACGGCCCCAGAGGCCCCCAAGATCGCCCAAGAGGCCCCCAAGAGGGCCCCATGACGGCCCAAGTGCCCTCCAAGATGGCCCCAAGAGGGCCCCAAGACGGCCCAAGAGGCCTCCAACACGCCCGCCCAAGATGGCCTCCAAGACGCCCAAGATAGCCTCCAAGACGGCCCCGAGGCGCCCCAAGAGAGTCCCCCGTTGGCCCAGAAAGGCCCCCAAGACGGCTCCCGACGGCGTCAGACGTGCCAGGAACCCACCAAGATGGCCGAAGTTGGCTCGAAGCTGACCCAAGACGGCCCAAGAGGCCCCCAAGAGGGCCTCCAGGAAGGCCAGGAGAGGCCAAAAACATCGATGTTCCTAAGGTTTTCGAAGGATTTTGACATGGCCTTCTTTTCGGCCTTCCGACGGCCCGAGACGGCCCAAGAGCCCCCAAAGATCGCTGAAAGATCGCCCAAGAGGCCTCCAAGACGGCCAAGATGACCTTCAAGATGCCCACGTGTTCCCCGAAGGCTTTCCAAACCGATTCGGGGAACACATGGTCCGATGGCTTGGCAGGTCTGGCCTCAACGTTCGGCCACATAGGCGCTTCCCAAAAGGCAGGGGGTGGCGGTGGTTCGCCGTAGGCGTCTTCGATCCGCCGCCCCCTGTCGATTCATCGCAGGAGTGCCTGGCGTGCTAGACCTCTCGGTTTTGGTTCTTTTTCCAAAAGAACTCCCCCTGGCGCTTCGGCCCGTCCTGCCGGGGTCCCGGGAGGATTGCCCAGGACAGCAACGTCCACGAAAAATCCTCCATGAAACGGCCGTTTCGCTCGGGACATCCTCAAAAAATCGCGAAAATGGCCCAAGATGGCCTCCAAGTCCGCCCAAGATGGTCCAAGA